CCCCAAAACCCCAAAACCCCAAAACCCCAAAACCCCTCAGAGATTATAATTAATAGAAATAATATAAATGGTAAGACTTGCTAAATAATTCTCTCCTCGAGATTACAACTGATTCAAAAGTCTAATTTCACAAAATTTATGCAGTCACACCGAAGCCCAAACACTTTATGCACAAGATTATGATTTAAATGCTGACTAAATTACAACATTTGTTTGACTTATGATGGATTCAAATAAATTTGGATACCTCCTTTAGATTATTCTTATAAAATTTCATATTTGTAAATAACATTAAGCCACAAGATTTAGTTTGTCTATACTAGCGGTTTTATTATGAGAACTGCTATGTATTTCCGTGTTTTTTAGTAAAATCTATCGCTTGATTTCTATCACGTTTTCAAGCTATTTTTAATATAGTAAATTCAAAGTAAACCGGTTAATGTTATATGCCATTTTTCTGATCGATGCCCTCATTAAGTTGCTTCATCATAAAATAATTAATATTAAAAGAACTTTCAGGTTGTAGATTTCAAGAATGATTTCTGTGCCTTACCTTGTTATAAAATTTAAACCTGATGAAAGTTGTTTTTGGGGCAAAAATACCCACAAATTCACATTATCAATTAAAACTTTAACAAAATGTTATTCTGATTTTGATATTCTGCCCAAAAGGAGGATTACAAGACTCTCTATTATTTATGTTGAGACTTCTCTTGATAATTTCCAGCTTGCTGCTTAAGATAATTCTGCTATTTCCTGACTTCCAAATTGAAAATTTCAGATCGAGTACAATGCCATTGTTGGTTCAAAATAGCATGAGTGAGCTATTGGCTATAGTTTGAGAATTTTTGAAAATTTAATGACTCTTTTGTCATTTATGCCTAGATGGAGTTTTTAAATACTAGTTTGGTATTACACAATTTTATACAGCAAAAGTTCAGTGGATTTATAACCGATAGATCCTGTGTCTGGAATGAATCTTCAAATTGTTCATTAGTTAATTCTAAAGAGCAAAAGTACTAATTTTACATGGGATATTTGTGTTTAGATTGAGAAATGGATTACTTAAAAACATGTAATGAGGTTTGATTCTAAATAAGGAGATTTCTAATATTTAAAAGGTTCATACTAACATTCTTGTAATAGGAAGATCAACCTTTTAATCTGCCCTACTTCAGAAGACTCTCGAATTGTTACAATTTCTGCCACTCGCTCTTTCATGAATTTCCAGAGAACAAAGATCTTGAGGAGGAATATTATAATAGCAGACTTGTGTATATACGAAAATAACTGGGTGTTGCTGATGCAGGTTGTCAAATACACTGTCATAGCAGCCATGACATTTGTGGCCATACTACAACAAGACAAGTTTCTATGGAGAGCTGTTATCTTCGTGCTTGATTTCGTGGTTTTTCATTTGCTAGAAAAAGGAATCAAAAAGTATAACTTGGTCGCCAACTATTCAGGGATTATAGTAGCTACAATCATGTATGTCCAAATGACAGAAGTTAATCTCAAATTCGCATACTTCAGGTATTCGTTAGCAATAATTTTTAGAATCAATGAAGGCTATCTCATCCAGATTTCTATGTCCTTGGTGTTCAGTACATGAGTCACAACAAGTTGGAAAATAGCATGACTCAACCAATCTCTGCTTCATATGTATGGGTTGGTGAGACTTAAGAATAAATTTGGCACTCTCACTGATTATTATTACCCTGGGTCTTTCTGAGCTCTGGCTTTTTTCATATTTGGAGCCTATTCCTACTCCAACACTCTGAAGCAAGAATTCATTGCAAATTATAAAAAGCGAAGGACTTTACAAGGACAACGAGGCACACTCAATTGTATCCCTGAAGGAGTGCTTATTGTGAATAAAGATAAAAAGTACAAATACGCTAATCCTAAGATAAAAGAAACTTTTGATATAAAGTCATTTTACAAATCTGATGCAGCAAGAGATGAGATCAAAGCGACTCAAATTCACATTGATAGAGAATTAGATAAGATTATTTAAAAAGTACTCTTTCTGAAACTCAAATTCACACCTCAAAGACCCAAATAGCTCGGATGAGTTTCTCAATGGCTTCTTGAAGAGATTCAGAGTGAAATGAAGCGGAACTGAATTCAACCAAAATATTTTTGACCAATCCTTCGGCGTTGATAAAAGTGATGAACATTCACAAATGTCAAAGTTTTCTGAATATAGGCATGGAAAATCAACACTTGCCCAGTTCCTTGAAAGAGAACGAAAATCGATTATGGAGGATATTAATTTGAGCAAAGAATCAACAATAAGTATGGAATACAAATCAAATAGAGATAATTACGAAACTCAAACGCGTGAATTTGTGGTAAAAACAACTATTGTTGATGCCGATAATGTCATGAACACAGACACTCTATTCATGCACATGTTTGTAGAGACTACTCAGATAAGTCAGCTTGAGGAAGCCAAAGCTCAGAACCATTATCAGCGTCAGATGCTATCTAATGTGTCTCATGAGTTTAGAACCCCTTTGAACTCCATCGTGGCTTCATTAGAATTGATGAGGATGCATGATTATGGAGAACATAATCGGCTTGTTCGAATTGCTTCCTCCTCTTGAAGCATTTTGACAATGCTTGTTGAGGATATCCTGGACCATGCCAAAATTGAGTCAGGCGTCTTCCAAATCAACAACGAGATCTTCACCATGACCCAATGCTTACAAGAAATCCAAGAAGTGTTTGTTCTTCAAGCCAGAGGCAAAGGACTTGAACTCATCATTGAAATGGAAGACAAACTCAAAGAGTTACCAGTCCAGTCCGACAAAGGCAGACTTAAGCAAGTGCTCATGAACTTGGTGTCGAACGCTTTGAAGTTTACAGACAGAGGAGCCATTACCATTCAGATTCATGAAAAGCATCCCGAACAGCAGAGGAGGCCAATTGAAGAATCCAAGTCGTTTGGGGGAGACCAGCTCAGGGAACTCAGCTTTGAACATGTTAGAGATGAAGACATTGGTAAGATTACATTAAACACTATTTAGAGTACTTATCTGAAGCTTCCAATCTCCAAGAAGATAGGCATAATTGCTCTGAGTATTTCTTCCACACCAACAGATCCAGGTTTAGAAGCATAGAACATCCTCAATCTGAGTTCACTGATACAATGCAGATTTCTCTCAAAGTGGTTGACACCGGCATCGGCATCTCGAAAGCAGACCAGAAGTCGCTGTTCAAATTATTTGGCAAACTCAGTTCAAACCATGACAGAAATAAAACTGGATGAGGACTGGGCCTGACCATTTGCAAAAAACTCATTGAGAAGCTTGGGGGAGAAATCAGTTTATATTCGGAAGAAAATGTGGGTACCACAGTGGAGTGCCATTTCACCTGCAAATATTAAATTATTTACCATCTAATATCCAATGCTAAAATCTTATCTCGGGGTTTTGGGGTTTTGGGGTTTTGGGGTTTTGGGGTTTTGGGG